GATGTTGGGGTGTGGGGTGTGGGTGTGGGTGTGACTTTGACAATAAAAGACGGAAGAGACAGCAATAATCACCCACCCAGACTCAGGCCCACTTAAGCAAAAAAAAGTATGAAATGTAGCTTTTCAAAAATATATATTTTTTGAATTGAATTCCACTTTAGATTCTCTGATTCGTCGTAATTCTAAAAACCAAAGTTTTTTCACTTGAATGAATAAAGGCTGTGAAAAATACTGGAGTAGTTGTTGGATATGGGATGTCAAGTTTTTTTATCATTCTCTCAAATTCATATATACAATGCTTTTTTTGTCAAACTTTGAGATGGAATTTTCCAGTTCATTGTTCAAATACGTTTATTCAGTTCGAGTGAATCATGAGCCTATATTGAGAGACTGCTGTTCTATCTCCTTGAAAATGATGATTTATCAATGACCACATGTAAAAGATTCATTAAATAATCTCGAATGTTATCAATGAGCCTGCAAATTCTACTCTAGGCTATAATGTCATTCTTACAAATATTTTCAAAAACTAATGTTATATACGCAGAACCGAAAACATTCACACCCAGACTCATACCCACACCCACACCCACATGGACGCTCTACTCATCACCCAAAACTTTCATTAAACATCTGATGATATTCTAACGTAAAGACACAATTACTATCCTACTTTTTTATTGTATTGTCGGTTTGAAATAACGATTTTCATTTGTCTAAGTCACTGGTTGAGTAGTTCTACTTTTGCGACGCAACCGTTTTAGTAATTAAAGCATTCAAAGCGAAACAACCTTTTTTCATTTGCAGGAAGAAACAACACGAGCCACTTAGTGTTGGTTTTTTCCTTTGTTTGCACAGCAGGTCATTGCATGCAGCGTGTTTCTCATACAAAGCAAAGATTTCATTGCATTGTAAGTTAGACAATTTTTGGTAGAAGTAAGTGAATTTATTGAAATCTCTCATCGCCTGTGAGATTGATAAATGTTAAAATTAGTAAAAGAAAAGATCAGAAGTCAATAATTTATTTGTTAATGTCGAAATCGAATTTATGAAAGATTTCATTTTTTTCTCGTCACTAAGAGAAAAATTATTCAAAAAAACAGGATTTTCGAGTTAGTATTGTTGGCTTCTTCATTTGTTCAATATTTCCGAATACCGTCATACAGTTTATACTCAAAGGAAAGTAAACCTTGCTAAAAACATATGAGAAAGCCTTTTAGCAATGTCTTGCTATCAAAATAAATAAAACTAGTGCGTCAGTTGAAACATTCTTTACATAGTTTTAATAATTTTTGACTCCTCCCAGTGCAAAATGTTCCTAAAACAATGGCAGAGAACGCGTTCTGAAAAATGAAAACCTTTTTTAAGGAGGAAAGTTTTTTCGAAAAGTGGAAAGCATTCCAAAATAGAACGGTGAAAACCACTTCGAAAACACGTTTTTTTCTTACAAAAAGTTTTTCATTTTTTCAGAACGCGTTCTTAACCGTTCTGATTTCAATTGATAAATAATCGATCCTGTTTTTGTTAAATTGCGTTCTCGCGCATTCCTGGAATGTGGGTGTGAATGTGTGTGTTTGGTTGTGGATGCAGGTCATACCCACACCGACATCACACTCACCTGCTCGCACCCGCAGTCACCAACATCCACACCCTCGCTTCTTCATGAAGGTACTTGCAAAAAATCATTTTGCGATGCCGATACGGAAGAAGTCATAAGTGCATAGAAAATAGTATGAATAAGTGAGAATGAATACTATGTATGGTAAAAAAAGGCAGATATGTGTTATGTTTTCTTCATGGAAACGAAAATTAGAATTTGTTATTAAATAATAGTAAATTAATTCATAGTTTTGAGCCTAATTAAAAACGAATTCTGGCTAAGTTCAATTTTCCTGTGACATTTATAAGATAGCATCAATGCAATAAAGCTGACAGAATCCACCTGAGGAACTGTTAAAAATCTATAAAGTTACAGAATTTAACAGGATTCAATAAGTGTTTCCATCATCATCACATTGAGATGTGTTGAAATTTTTTTTTATGATCACAGTTTTTACGACAGAAAATCATTCATATGGCGTTTTAACAAAATTTAAACACTTATGAATGAGTTTTTGTGAAGTTTCTGAATGCCCAGGCACTGGAGAAAATATTAATTCATGTTTCACTTGACATGATAATACACACATTAGAAAAATAGCTCATTGGAATGTCAACAACGATCTACCATAAACCATTGATTAGTCTGTATACGATCTATTCATTTGCTACCGGTCAAAAACAGTTATGTTTAGTTTTTTTTCGGTTTTAGAGACTTACATTACCGTCTACTATTGGAGTTCGTTCCCTGTTAAAAATGGCCACAAGCAGTAGTGACAACGCCGCTCAACGTCTTTTGCGTCTATCTGATATTGCTCAAGAACCGCTTGAAATGCTCATGCTAATCAGTGGGTATGAGGATGTACCACTGTTACCACTTGATATTGCTGTCGAACCTCTAATTCCTCTTTTACCGACCATTCAGAGCTTTGCTCACTCTGCTAAAGAACGTTGCAAAAAGCCTCCAGACGATGGACTAACTGTTGATGAGTCCGCCTCAATTATGCTCTACTCGATGGGCTGGAAACCACGTGAAAAATGCCTATATGCCGCTTTGAATGCTACACTACGATCGAAGGACAGAGAAAAACTCGAACCCTGGTTCCTTTATCTTAAACTGTTTCTCACTGCACTATCTCGACTTCCATCTCAACATCGCACTGTCTTTCGTGGCGTTAAACTAGATCTGCACGACAAGTATCCAAGAGGCGCAACAATTACCTGGTGGGGCTTCTCGTCGTGCACTGCTTCTATTGCAGTTCTACAATCCGAGCTGTTTTTGGGCAAGATCGGAACAAGAACAATGTTCACAATTGAATGTGATTCTGGCAAAGACATCAACAAATATTCGTTTTTTCCAAAAGAAGATGAAACGTTACTTCTTGCTGCCACGCAATTCAAAGTTATTGGGTGCCTGGATAATGGCAATGGTTATTACACAATCCAATTGAAAGAAATGAAGCCTCTATTTCCTCTGTTGTTACCACCGACGCCCGTCTCTGATTCAAGTATACTACCAAGTATAAAGAGTATATTGAATATTTTATCAAAAATTTCACAAAAAGAAGTTATTGAGATATGACTCACTTTCTTGCATTACAGATGCTTTCACGACGACTGCTGTGGGCGCGATCAAAGGAGAAAACGAGGTACATACCACACACGTGCAAGTAATTCAAACAATTTCTTGGTGCCTTTTTATCTATTCACATGTATCTCCTTGTGTTCATAGACTGATATAGCAGTAGCAGCCGTCGCTAGTACCATAGACACTGGGAGTAGCTCCATCATCAAAAAGGTCGAACAATTATCACTCTATAAAATTAATCTTCATTGAATATCTCCTACTTGTAGATGCCAGCCGTAGAACTCAATACTTCAGCAACTGAAGGTATTGTATCATTGACTACCGCCTTGAAAGTAAGAATTAGGTAAGGCAACGACAGTTGTTTTAATAAAATGTACGGACAAGAGTAGTAAATGATACATATATTTGTGTATTCTTGCGTCCTTTATCTTCTTAGTTTGTATGCCTTTAGATGGAGCGAAGCTTCCAAGAAAGAAAAATCCTATTCGGAACCATTCGAATAGATGGGAAAGGGCAGAGGTGGATGGGAATGGTTGGGAATTGGCAGACGTGGATGGAAATGGATCGGAATGGGTGCGAATCGATGGGAATGAATGGGAATGGGTACCAAGGGATGTGAATAGACCAGAATTGTGTAGAATACCCAAGAATATGTAATGGCAGCTTCGTGGATTAGCAGGATGACTTCATCGATGTTTGAAATACTATGAAGTCATAAAACTTACTGAAATTATCTATGATCGCTTTCAAATGCGTGTTTACTTTTTTTACAATTAATAATTAAAATTTGGAATTGACGTGATGAAAAGTGTATCATATTTTACAATTGCTGCTACTGAAATTTATTAATACTATAATAAAAGAATGTGTCTTTTAAAATTACAACCTTGTAAACAGCTTGACAAAAACAGAAAGCTCAGGAATACCGTAAATTTTATGATAAATGTTTTTTTGAGATAGTGTGCATTTTAATTAATCCATACAATCGAAGTGATTACAGAACGAAATGTGAACACGACGGAGAATAGTTTGATATATAAGATGTATAACGAAGATGCGAGAGCCAATAGTATACTATCGGATCAAGATTTTGGAGAAATGAAGCGATATGCAGAGACACAGGTCTCATGAATGAATGTACATTTGAATCCATGAAAAATAACAATCGAATAGCTAAATTACAGATTCATTTCGGTGACTCTCTGAGCACGACCACACCGTTTTTTACCAGCACATTCTTAACGAGGTAAAAACAGAACGAATGAGGAAATTTGTTTTTTTACAACTGATGTAATTCTGCGCTTTCTGTGATTCGCCTCACCGAAACAGCGTGGCTGGTTACCAAGCTTACTGAAAGTATGTGTTCAATGCAATTTTTCTCTATAGTAACTCCAATAGAAAAAAGTGACAAATATTTCAAGATCACATAATAATTACAACTCTCATATACATGACTAATCTTGAGAGGGTGTGGGGATGCAGGTATGTTATTTACTACTATCAATATCAGGAGGCACATCCATCCACACCCACCACCCATCCATACCCACCCACACCCACACCCTCCAGGATTTCCATAGGATTCCCGAGATTTTCATTGTATTTTCGAGATTTTCAGAATAGCAATTTGTATTCCTGACATTCATATTTAACTTCTATAATCTTCATTCTCGTTTTAGAAATCTCATAGAACTCATAGCTTTGCCGCTTTATCACATACTTAGGAATACCACTTTAAATTATTGAGGAAAAATATTCTTTGTCTTGAAAAGTCTAGACATCACCTAATTATATGGGTATAAAATCCATTGGGGCAACAGGGTGGTTTAATTTCTTATTTCTATCGTAGAACGTCCTATACAAACTAACAAAAAGCAGCAAGCAACAAGATAAATGAATAAGTAACAGCAGAAACATGTTTCATTGAAGGAATCTACAGCATGTCATCTGTAACCTTTTATTCACTAGGCGATCTGACTGTTGGACATGCTTAAATTGATCGGGTAATAGCACAGTTTTCCTGTTTACTAAAAGACAAGAGGCTGTCTGTCTATGACTATTGTTTTTGATATCGATTTTGGTACACAAAGAACAGTTTGAGAGTGAAGGAGAAATAATAGTGTTGGAGACTATTACTGCATAAAATTTAGATTTATTGCTAGCTGAAAAAGATAGTTATATGATCAGTTTTATTTTGGGACTAACCATATTTCTCTGATTTGGATAACAAAGAATCAACATCAGATTTTAAGCGGTAGCTTAACTCGTGATCAGACCAATAGCAACGATTTTCGTCACAAGAGATAATACTGAACTTTTTTCAAATTAAGCTTCTACAAAGGATCTATTGTGTTTTATTGTACCTTTTCTCGTTTTCTTCAAAGCAACAATTAACATCGAATCTAGAGAGAAGATAATAGGCCTAATCAAAAGCTTGACATATAGTCTTTTGAAAATTATCATATAGGAGAAACTTATCGGATAGAGCTCAGACTGATTTTTTCAAAGTAGAATCTTTTCTTGTTTTTTTGCGATGCTTTGGAAACTACAATGAACAGTTCAACTCATTGCATTTGAAGGGGAATTCGACATATTTCATATTTGACGGTTTGTTTGAGCTTTAATTAAATATTCGGGATCCTCATCGAGTTTCGAATTCTCATTCTTTTTATTTTCTAGCTGTCTGCCAATTTTTTGAAGATGCAATCAGTACCTCCAAGCTTTCCTAGAGTTATGACAGTCGAGCAAGGGGGAAAAGTGGACTTCAAGTACACCAAAGTACGGTACAATTACGTCAAAAGTACTGTTAAAGTACGATCGAATACTTTAAAATTACGCCAAAAGTACATTAAAGTAGCTCGAAGTACTCCCAATAAGCCTATATTACCTTCAAGTATAAAGTCTACTTTTCCTCCTTGCAGTCGAGTGATATTTATTCTTCCACAGTCAAGAAATAGCCTGCTCATCACTAAAAGTCTAAGCAAATTGTCTTATAAGATATGCATCGATACTAGTGGTACAAAAGAGCTCTTCTGTTTCTTTTGTACCTTGCGTCTGGAAGAGCAGCGAAAAAAAAGTAACATCAAGTGGATCTAACCTGTAGTGTTTTCCTGTTAATCATGTCTATTTTATTAAATGAGTCTCATCGTGAACTAATCTGAGCTGATCGGCTATTATATTATTCCTATCATGCTGTAAAAGCCGACACATTATTTACCCATGTTTTCTTTTTGTATTGATGTTAATATGAAGATCATTATTGATCAGTTCTGGAAGATTAGTGCTGATTGCGAAACTACAGCTTACAAAGTCTTGAAAAAAAGAAAAGCTTACAAATTCACTTTCAGATGGAGTACCTTAGCTCGAGTGTAACGATATATTTTATGTTGAATACAGAGCTGGAGTTTGATTTACCTTTATATGAATGAATATGAGCGCTATTGTGCAAAACTTTTGAGATATCTCTCCTATTTCACTGTATGAATAATCCTGCTAGATATTACGATTCGTCTAACATTATACGAAAAAGCAATCACTTTTTGGGTAGAATGTTCATTTCGCATTATCGATGAGTTATGTTGCAAAACAAAAGTCACGGAAAAAACAGTTAATTATCGAGTAAATAGTTGCATAAACGATGTTAGCCACAGGATCCCATGAGTTCGATTGCAGTCAAACTGTGACGCAATTCCGCGTAACTGCGCTGAACAAATTGCATTTGCGCGTATCTGCGTCGCATTGTTGCAAGAGATGACATAGATGATGCTTTCATTTTATTAATATTTTTATTGTGAAATTAAAAAACATTTTTAAACACAAAAAAAACTAAAAAAAATAGAAAAATGAAAATATTCAAAAGAGATAAACAAATACAAATATTTCAAAAAAAAGAAAAAAGTTAAAAAAATTAACAAAAAATCACTACTGAAAAAGTTTAGAAAAAGTTTTTAAAATATTTTGGAAAACGTTCTACTTTTTGTGATCGAATGAATTATGATGCGAAGTTTCATTAAGACTGCTTTTTATAGAGTCTGTGTGACCAATTACAAATGACTAGGAATCACTTGTAATTTATCGGTGCCAGTTACAGCGGATTGCACGATACGCTTGCTGCGACGCTATTGGTAAAAAAGAGGCGACATGAGAATGATCTAACAACTAAAAATATCAAATAGTCAGCATTACGATGAAGAGGAACTAGTGTCACTCTTTTCATCAAAAGAGAACTTTTCCTTTTCCGGTTACTAAGGAGCCTTTCCATCACTCTTTGTAAGTAGCTGACAACGGCTAACTACAATTGTTGCAATCTTTTAAAACTTTTGAGATACTTGAAATCTAATCCAAATTCGCAAAACAAATCCTTTACAAATTTCTTCATCAAGGTGTTCAACGTTCACTTTGTATTTTTCTTATCGAATCTACTTATCAGTTATTCTCTTAGTACAAAATTCCCTTCGTTCTGTGTTATTGCTCCATTTATCTTAATACAACAAGAGCAGAAAGCATCGTTTCACCTAAATAAAAAGCGGTTACAGTAGGTTGAAGAAGACGAATCTGATTGTGTTGTGACACACGATCCCACGAAGGTGTTGATGTATATATGGTAGAACTTTGCAGCGACCGCCTAGATCATGGCAGTCATCGTTCATATGCGATTACAGGGTCTATATCAATAGCGACTCATTAAAATATATTAACTACTCCCTTATTACATTTCAGAAGGATCAAGTAAAAGAAAGATAAAGAAATGTATCCCAAGATACATTGAATAAAACAATCTTCCTGTGATAAGCAACAGCAGGCACATGGTGTTTCATAGTTTAATTCCAGAGGAATTCGACTAATAGCTTATTTCTATGAATATCTACAGTGTGGAAACCATATTTGCACGTCTTATTCTGTCTTGAAATATCCTAGTAGTTAGGATGTTCATAAGACTAGTTTTAAGCAGAGAAACTGTTAGCTAAGTTGATTTGAATGATTATTAATTATAA